ATTTGCCACACAGAATCTATGGCATAGATTCTATGCAGCAGAATCTATGCCACCACCATATATCACCCAGAACATGCACAAAAATTTGGGTACAAGAACTTTCTGATAGCACCTCACATACAGGAGGACCCCACTTTACAGAGCTTCACTTTACAGGATTTCACTCATGCTGTGGTTTTCAATTATACCCATTCTTCATTTATTCAGACTTCCTACAATAAATATATTCACCACTCACTATGAGCTAAGGCCAAAAATATTTTAAGGTAAGTAATGTGTGTACTGTATGTGCATTTTTTTAGGCTCTATTGCTCATTTAATATAGGATAGTGTAAACATTTTTATCAGGCTTTTATATACAGCAGGGCCCCGCTTTATGGCGTTTCACTTTACGGCATTCCGCTAATACGGTCATTTCAAATTATGACCAAAACTCGCTATACGGCTCCCCCCACCTGACTTTCTAATACGGTCACCGCGCCCCACCCTGTTTGTTTACATTCTTCGTGAGCTCAGTAAGCACTAAGTCTCTCCATTGTGTCTGGAAACTCCAAAATTTCAAATGTTTTTAAAAGTTATTTCATATTTTATATATACTCTGATAATTATACTTATGTATACCTGTACTTAAATAAACTTACATACTGTGCTGGCATGCAGGTACACATTAAAATCAGTAAGAGTGTCTTATGTCTCCAGACGTCATATTAGTAATGATAATAATAATCATCGAGTCTCATTTAAATGTCATATATTACATTAAATACACATTTTCATTAATCCATCTGATATTTTTTTTCAAAATTATATAATAAATACGATACATAACATAAAAGATGATAAATACACCCCACAATAGAATAAATAAACATAAATATGAGATGTGGTAGCAGACGACTTGCACAAGTGACGCCATATTAGAAATAATAATAATAATAATAATAATAATAATCACCGAGTCTCATTAAATGTTGTATATTACGTTAATATACACATTTTCATTAATCCATCCATGATATTTTTTTCAAAATTATATAATAAACACAATACATAACATAAAAAGATGATAAATACACCCTACAATAGAATAAATAAACATAAATATGAGATGTGGTAGCCAGATAACTTGTACAAGTGACAGCAAGAATAACATTTTCTCTAATCTAACATAAGAGAAAATGTGTTACTGGGGGTAACTGTAGAAAATTATTCCTTTCGTATGTATGTAAGTAAGTTTATTCAGGTATACACAAATACAGTTACATAGATTATCATACATAACAACATATGTGTAGAGAACCTAGGCTAACCCAAAAAAGTCAGAGTGACTTATTTCCATTGCCTTCACTCAGAGCATCATTTTTTCTCAAAATGATGTTACATGAGAATGGCAGTGTTCTTCTTTATTTATTCTACAGTATCAATGTAGAGACAACCTGTACACAATGTAACTTGTACACAAACCAGACGTGTACACTTTGTTTACAAAACTTACCTTCGCCTGGTTTGTTTACATAACTCTGCGCCTGTATTCTCTCATGCACTCATTCTTTCTCTCTCTCATTTATTCGTTTTATCTCATTTACTTACTCCTGACCCTACATTAAGACTACAAATATTTTAAGGTAAGTAATGAGTGAACTGTATATACATTTTATCGCTCTGGGATGCTTAAATGTAATAGAATATTATGTGTAGGTGGGTTGGCCTGGTAAGGTAGCCCGGCTGACTACCATACATACCACACTTCATTTTTTACAATAAATATTACTCATCTCACCCTGTATTTTAAGGTAAGTAATGAGTGAACTGTATAAACATTTTATCGCTCTGGGATGCTTAAATATCATAGAATTGTATGTGTGGGTGGGGTGGCCTGGTATGGTAGCCTGGCTGACTACCATACATACCACACTTGATTTCTTACAATAAATACTACTTGTCTCACCCTAGATTAAGACTAAATATTTTAAGGTAAGTAATGAGTGCACTATGTGTGTATTGTACTTTTTTATTGTTTTTTGATGCCTGGTTCTATTGCTAACTTAATATATGTTAGTGTAAACTTGTTATCTAGTGTTTGTATGCATTTGTAAGTGGAAAAAAAGGGTGTTCCACTTTACGGAGGTAGCCTGGAACCTAACCAGCCGTATAAGTGGGGCCCTACTGTACATTTGAAAGTGAAAAAATGCTGTTTCACTTTACAGTGATAGCCTGGTACCTAACCTGTGTATAAATGGGGCCCTCCTGTATACATTCAGTGTCCACTTTATTAACTACGTACACTCTTCTAATAATATGTAGGGCCTCCCTTTTGCCCTCAACAAGATGCTTGAAACATTACATATAAGAGAGATGTTGAAAAGGATGAAGGTCATCAATAAATATCACAAGCATTTTTTCCCAGTAGAAGAGTTGCTGACCTGAACACCATCAAAGAAGTGTTTTCTTATATTTTAATGGTCAATTAAATGACTTATTTTTTTTTTTTTTTTGGCAACCTTGGTTTGGATCAGAACTTCCTAAAGAAAGATCCTTCAGGGTGATTTTCTGAACCTTTATTCATGGTAATTCAAGAAGTTGTGAGTGAGTTGAAGGTGCTGAACAACTTGGCAGAGAGAGGCAAGGCACTGATATAATACTCTAATCACTACAAATAAAACACAGAAAAGTGCCTCCTACAAGTCATCAGGAATGATGGTGCTTATTTTCTTGTTCTAAAAATGAGCACAACTCAACTAATTACACAAATACCACCTGGTGGTTCACACTTACACTCACTCACCCATTTGACCATAAAAAGAAATATCAATCTCAATCTTAAAATAATGAATCCTAATTAGTCATAAGTTGGCCTGTGATACTCCAATACTGAAACTATGTATTGTGCCAAAACAAAAGCATTCACATTGCTAAACTCACAAACTAGTGTTTAGTCACTTAGCCATAATACCAACTTACCTCATAATTTGTAATATTTTAAATTTAAGATTTAAACTAAGTCTGCCCGAAATGCCTAGCCATGCTAGGTGTTCTAGTGGTACACTCTGTAATTATTATTTTACTACATGTAAACCACACAATACCCAAATTCTGTAAACTCAGCATTGTAATCCTTATAGAGAATAAACTTTGAATTTGAATTTGAGTTTGAAGCAATGACTGCCTCTGATCCTTATACTATTTATACAAAATAAGAATAAGAACTTTATATTAGGATGATACATGTTTATACAAAGGAGTATAAGAACTGAGTGCACATGCCAAAAGCCCCTTCATATGTAGAGCATTTTGGGCAAACTTAAGATTAATTTAAGATGAATAGGGCAATAACAGTGCAGTAAATTTGTACATATGGTCATTAGGTGAGTTTACAATGAATATAAGATAAATGAACACTCCACCAGTTCATACTATATGGCTTTAATAGGTTTGGAAGAGAGGAACTATAGTTTTAATTATTAACCTAAGGCGGACAATATTCAATATTCTTATTACAATTATTATATTCATATTCAAAATAATCAATGAGGATATTTAATAACATTTATAAGACCAACATACAGCAGAGACAATTCTTTTCAAATATGATTGCAACAAATGTGCTTGGTAGTGCTCCCTAAATACAATCAGATTAGAACACATTTCTGCTCTAAGTGGTTCTTTGGAACACTTGCCCTGGGTAGAGTGCCCTAAAGAAAAATCACAAGGGAATAAACAAGGATCACCCTACAGCCTCATTATGATAAGTGCAGGAAATGAGGATAAGAAAAGAGAGGAAACTAGGTAATGTATCTCACATGAGCTGTCAGAAAGGCATGAATGAATAAAGGGGATATGGCCACAATACTTGAAATATTCAAAGAAGCAGTAATAAAGAGGACATAACAGGAGGCCTGATCACAGACCAGGCCGCGAGGGCGTTGACCCCCGGAACTCTCTCCAGGTAAACTCCAGGTAAACAGTAATGAGATCTAGACAAAGAAACACAAATGGAAGCTAAAAACCAAATTGAGTGAGGTGAAAAGACAAATCTCCTTAGTTTGAGACCAATGAGCCAGTGTAATGCACTTAGGCAAGGAAGGTAGCAGAGGCTAAATCCATGAGTTTAAATGTGGCATTGCTGATAGCAAGGCAGTGGTGGTGGTATTTTAACCCTTAAACTGTCCAAACGTAGATCTACGTTTGCTCACGTAGTGTTCCGAACGTAGATCTATGTTTTTTTACATTGTTTCTTATGGAGAAAATCAAGGTCGGAGTGCTACGCATGCAAATGTAGATCTATGTTTGGACAGTTTAAGGGTTAATTGTTAGGAAACAGCAAAGTGTATCCTTACATGAGTCATTATTAGATGATGACCTGTTTAATAGATTAACATCCACTGGCCTTCTGGAGCTAGGTTTTCTAGCCCATCTAAAAAACAAAGGACAGGCATATAGTAATGCTAACAGTAAGGTCAAGGTTAACAATGGAACTACAGTAGAAATGACTTAAAGCAATAATATACAGGGGAAGGGGTTACTAGCTCCTTGCTCCCGGCATTGTAGTCACCTCTTATGACATGTATGGCTTATGGAGGAAGAATTCTGTTTCACTTCCCCACCGAGAAGTGAAACAGAAAAATATAAACAAAATAAATTAAAAATATTGTTTATATCATTTTTAGTCTGAATAAGCAGTATTGTAAGAAAATTTTCCAAAAGATCAGACATTAAAGAGTTTACCCTCTCTATTTTCAATATGACAATGTCTATGAGGCTTGGCAGACATCACTCAATCCATCATTGATTATGGAGGAGTACATATGTACATAAGTACACTATAATCACTTGTTTGGAGGAAGAACCCAATAACTGGAGCTTGGCTCCTACATACATAAGTACATGCATACAAATACACTGCACAATTAATTACCCATCAAAAGCCAGGCCCTAAGAGCTGGAGCTTGATTCTACGTACATAAGTATATGAGTCTGCTATAAAAACAAATGTGACTTACTTTACTGCTCCTATTTTTTGTAGTATATATCGAAACTTAGTTTCACAATCTTTGGCAGAGTAAGGACTAAATGAGACTTGCTCCCAATCAACTTTCTTCAATGCAAACACACAGGACTTGTTGTCTAATTTACATAATATCTGCTTCATTCTTGTAATAAGAGTGCATATATCCTTAACTGTCCAAGGTATAGGTTCTGTATAAAAGACACAATTAAGACAAAATAAAATATTTACAAAAAACATTTTCTCATTAAACAATCATGTTCTTCTTAAAAATACCAGACCATGTTAAATAATACAAATGCAAAGTCATAAATGATGAAACATTATTCACATCCTTATCACAAATTTAAGTTGCTATTCCTATTACATGATTCACTGAACCAGAACACAGAAAAGAGGATACATACAATATGGAAGGGCAGATTACCAAACAAACATAAGAACATAAGAAAGAAGGAACACTGCAACAGATATGTTGTCATCATAAATGAGGCCGTCCAACTCATTCTAATGAGGACACTAGAGCACTCCAGGATGGTTTGAATAGACTGATGAAATGGTCGGAGAAGTGGCAGATGCAGTTTAATATTGACAAATACAGAGTTCTAAATGTTGGACAGTTAAATAACCATGCCACATATTAACTAAATAGTGTAGATCTTAATACAGTACTACTGATTGCGAAAAGGATTTAGGAGTTCTGGTTAGCAGTAATCTAAAACCAAGACAGCAGTGCATTAGTGTTCGCAATAAAGCTAACAGAATTCTGGGCTTCATATCTAGAAGTATAAATAATATAAGTCCTCAGGTTGTTCTTCAACTCTACATATCCATGGTTAGGCCTCATTTAGACTATGCTGCTCAGTTCTGGTCACCCTATTACAGAATGGATATAAATGCTCTGGAAAACGTACAGAGGAGGATGACAAAGATGATCCCATGTATCAGAAATCTTCCCTATGCGGATAGACTGAGGGCCCTGAATCTGCACTCTCTCGAAAGACATAGAATTAGGGGGGATATGATCGAGGTGTATAAATGGAAAACAGGAATAAATAAAGGGGATGTAAATAGTGTGCTGAAAATTTCCAGCCAAGACAGGACTCGCAGCAATGGTTTCAAGTTGGAAAAATTCAGATTCAGGAAGGATATAGGAAAGCACTGGTTTGGTAATAGAGTTGTGGATGAGTGGAACAAACTCCCGAGTACAGTTATTCAGGCTAAAACGTTGTGTAGTTTTAAAAATAGGTTAGATAAATACATGAGTGGGTGTGGGTGGGTGTGAGTTGGACCTGACTAGCTTGTGCTGCTGGGTCTGGTGCAGTGCTCCAACCTTGAGTGGAGATGACCAGACTGGGTGGGTCATTGGGCTAATCTGGGGGGGGGTTCAGTGGTCTAATCCGGGGGGGGACATGGACCTGCTCCGCATGGGTCAGTAGGCCTGTTGCAGTGTTCCTTCTTTCTTATGTTCTTATGTTCTTATGAGCCAATAGATAAAATTGTTATGAGATATGAAGTTAAAAAATTTAAATTAAAAAATTATATTTCTTCCAAGCCATGCAAATTAGTTACAGTAGTTATACATTTGAACTGTTTATATTTTGAATTTGACCTTGCTCTAATAAATTTTCTAATAAATCTTATTCTAATAAATAAATAAGGCTTAGAAGAAACCCACTAATTATGTAAATGCATTTTGGGCAAACCAATCATAAGGCTTACATACTAGTACTTATATCTAGAACTAATCTATAATTTTAGCCAGCAGTATTGATTGAGTAATTCAATACAATCATAAGTACAATGAGATAGGTTGCAAAAGAAGGACTGGTCAATTACAAGCAAATTTTATCCCAATGAAATTACGTTGGTTCAGTGACCTACATTTTCCGGAGTGGTTGAAGTGAAGCGGTAAAAATCAAAGAATGAGAATTTATACAGTAGGGCCCCACTTTACAGCATTTCACCTTACGGCATTCCGCTAATATGGCGATGTCAAATTATGACCAAAATTTGCTATATGGCAAGCGGTCTTTCAAATACGGCATGCCCCACCCGGTTTGTTTACATTCTCCGTGACCACATCTATTATGTCAGGAAACTTTCCAAAATTTCAAGCATTTTAAAGTTACTGTGTATTTCATATGTGCATATTCTGATAATTAAACTTATGTGTACCTGTACCTAAATATACTTACATACTGTGCTGGTGTGCAGGTACACATTAAAATCGCTAAGTCTCTCTCTACTCATGACGCCAATACTACGTAATAATAATCACTCTTGGGCACATTAAATGTCTTATTTTACATTAATATAGGCACTTTCTTTAATCCATCTATGATATGTTCCTCAAAATTATATATGAAACCCGTTACATAGCATATAAAAGCACTAATGATGCAATTATAAAAGCACTAATGATGCAATTATAAAAATGCTAGACCTGCTTTACACAGCATTGGAAAATAAGGAATATCCGCTAGGAATTTTTACTGACCTAAATCCTACCTTTCTAATAGGTATCAGTATGTCACCATTAAAGACACAGCCTCATCAATACGGCCACTTGATACTGGAGTTCCGCAGGGAAGTGTCTTTGGACCCCTGCTCTTCCTCATTTACATCAATTATCTTCCAAACATACCCCAACACCTGAAACCCATTCTCTTTGCTGATGACATGACTTATGTCATCTCCCACCCTAATCTTGCCACCCTCAACACCATTGTTAACCCTTTGAGGGTTTTCGTCGTACTAGTACGTCTTACGCGTAGGGGTTTTTGACGTACTAGTACTCATAAATTCTAGCAGCCTCAAATCTAGTGGGAGAAAGCTGGTAGGCCTTCACATGAAAGAATGGGTCTATGTGGTCAGTGTGCACAGTCTAAAAAAGATCCTGCAGCACACAGTGCATAATGAGAAAAAAAAACTTTGACCATTTTTTTTTAATAAATCAGCGACTTTGCAGTGTATTTTCGTATGGTATTTATTGTTGTATTCTAGTTTTCTTGGTCTCATTTTATTGAATGGAAGACATATTACAGAAATTGAGATGATTTTGACTGGTTTTACAAAGAAAAGTGCCTTGAAATTGAGCTCAAAGTAGCAGAAATGTTCGATTTTTACCAAACTTCAAAAGTAAACAAATCGTGCCAAGCGTGCAATACACGTCAACTGGTGAGTCTAATATTCTTTCACAAGTGCACCAATAATATTTATACCATTTTTTACACTAATGCAGTAGTCTGCATAACAGTAAATCTTCAATTTTTTGTGAGAATAAAAATTCAAAGTGGAAAGCAAAAGAATATAAGAGGGGCCTTGAGACGTGACTAATGACCAGAGGAAATGTCATTTTAGTGCCAGGAATGTCTTTCTTGTTTATTCTGGACCCTATTCGGAAATTGGCATCTTTTGAAATTTGTGTGAAATTGGCAAAATTGCTAAATTCTGACCACTGTACTGGATAGTTGAATTTCATAAATGAGTGGTTTCTTGCACCCATTCGATAGAAAAAATGGAGTTCTAGCGAAATATTCATGTTTTTTGTCGACTAGTACAGTGAAATTGGCCGAAAATGGGGCTCAAAGTGGGCAAAATCGCCGATGCGTAAACATCGCCGAGACAGCTAACTTTGCGAGAGCATAATTCCGTAAGTTTTCCATCAAATTTCAAACTTTTGGTGTCTTTATGATCGGGAAAAGATTCTCTATCTTTTCAAAAGAGAAAATAATTTTTTTTTTTTTTAAATTAGCCGACCCTGAGAACGAGTTTTGGGGTGTCCTACACGGATTAATTTGATTTCCATTATTTCTTAAGGGGAAAATTAACTTGACTAACGATAATTTTGACTAACGATGAGCTCTCAGAAACGGATTAATAGCGTTAGTCAAGGGTCCACTGTATTATGTTTGGTAGCAGAGCAGGTGCTGCGCAACTTAACATTAAGATCAACAACACTCTAATTGCCAGACATAATGAGAGAAAATTCCTTGGCCTATACCTCAACAACAACCTAAATTTCAGCACCCATATCCAACACATAACAAAAAAATTATCCAAAACGGTGGGGATCCTCTCCAAGATACGATACTACGTGCCGCAAACTGCCCTTCTCACACTATACCATTCACTTATATATCCATACCTCACCTATGATATCTGTGCTTGGGGTTCAACTGCAGTAACACACCTAAAGCCAATAATAACCCAACAAAAAGCCGCAGTAAGAATAATCACTAAATCCCATCCCTGGCAACACACACCCCCACTCTTCAAAGATCTAAACTTACTCCCTGTTCAGAACATCCACACTTACTACTGTGCAATCTATATCTACAGGACCTTAAATTCCAATATTAACCTTGACCTAAAACACTTTCTTGATAGTTGTGACAGGATCCACAGGCATAACACTAGACACAAACATCTCTATGACATTCCCCGTGTTCGACTAAACCTTTCAAAAATTCAATGTATTTCAAAGGACCTAAAATCTGGAACACCCTACCTGAAAACTCTAGAACTTCAGACACATTCATCACTTTCAAAACTACAGTTTGAAAATATCTTATCTCCCTGATCCACCCCGACAACTAACTACATGATAACCACCTGGTGGTTCAAAATTACACTCACTCACCCACTGACTATAAACCCAGAAATACTAATCTTAATCTTAAAATAATAAATCCTAACTAGTCATAAGTTTGCCTATGATACTCAAATATAGACACCTTGTATTGTGCCAAAACAAAAGCATTCACATTGCTAAACTCACAAATTATGATGTAGTCACTTAGCCTTAATACCATAATCTGTAAGGATTTAATGTTAAGAATTAATCTAAGTCTGCTCGAAATGCCTAGCCATGCTAGGTGTCCTAGTGGCCCCCTCTGTAATTAGTATTTTATAACATGTAAACCACAAAATACCCAAAACCTGTAAACCCCACACTGTAACCATTATAGAGAATAAACTTGAATAAACATGATACATACACTCACAGAATAAAAATTGATGTGAATATGAGATCTGTTTACAAAGCAGCTGTGTAGGCAGTGTTGGAAGAATTACGTTTTCTCTAGTCAAACTGGGGGATAACTGTAGAAAAATATTCTTTTCATATGCCTTCACTCTATATATAGCAATTCACGACCCTTGTGGGTTTAGTGCTTTTTATTATGAT